TGTTTTCTCTGCTTCTGATAAGTCACGATTAGATAAATTCTCAATCCATTTTTTCCTCACAAGGGATTTCTTTCAATTTGGTCTGATTTAGCCCAGTATTTACTTGGAGTGGGTTCTTTGCGCTTAATCAAATTTTGGAACTTTTTAATTTGCTGTTTTTTGGAGATTTCGTGCTGTTTTAGTTGTGAGGATTTGGTGAATTCTAAAATCTTTTGGAAAATCTCTTCTGACATCATTTGTTTCAATTTTTGTCGAATCTCTTCTGCTCTTTTGTTAAGATCTTTAATATTTGCATTCAATCGTCTGATTCTTTGGTTGAGAATTTTAAGGACATAATTCAGTTGTAGATTTTTGGCTACGTACCCTGGCTCTAACGCTTTTTGTTTGAGGCATTTAGGTATTAGTTTGTTATGTCTGCATCAAAGGTTAAATCTAAGATGGTTCCAAGAATCCGCAATTTTCTTACCAATCCTCTCGAGGGCGCGCGTCAGCTGGAGGGAGTCTTTCCCAACATTGACCGCAAGATGCTTGTGGAGGCTCTCGGTCGTACTTGTTTTTTACCCACAAGTACAGATGACGACTGACGGAACCCTTTCTACGATGGAACCTTCCTGTACGACCGAGAGCCTCCACAAGCATTTCAACAAAAAGCAAAATAGCCTGTTTTTGCCTATTTGAGGCAGCACCACCACTATCTTCTCACAACTAAATGCAATACGAATGAGGCAGCTTCCACCCAATGGACACAGGCCTCTCTGCTCAACATCCTGACAACTGTCGTTTTGCAATCCAAAAGAATGTTACTGTTCGTGATCAGGGAATGCCTGTAAATTGGACCATAAAAACTTGAGATTTTTTTCCACACTAACTCAGGATAGGATAGTCCTAACTAAACCTTGTTTAATGACCTGATCAGCCTACTCGGATGAGAGGCAAAAGCATCTGAGACACCTGCAACTGTCCTGTTGCTGTTCAATGCAATGTGGTGACTACTGTGAATGGTGGGGCGGCACCGTAGCGCCCTCTAGTGACTAACTATGGCTGCCTTCTAAAAGTATTGAATAGGGTTATGGCTGGACCCAGGCCACAATTGATTGCAACACAGTAATGTATTTTGAACCTTGAGCCCACCAATTGCAATACACGGTAAGCCATCTTCCTTCGCAGGATGCGCAAAAAAAATATGGCTTGACTGCCCTCTGCTGGACAAAAGTGGCTACTGCCGCTATGGCAAACAAGCCATAGTTGGCCTTTCATTAATTTAATGTGTAAAAACTTAATCTGAATTCCTTAATGTGAAATTTATATATTTTTCGCATTATGATTTCTTTTGTTTACGCCCATTCTGTCACAAGTTTGCCTCAGTGACTTGTCAAACGGGGAAAAAAAACTTTGCTCAGATGGGACTAAAAATATTTTAAGGAACATTTACAAAACGTTCCAAGCTAAGATTTGCATGCCACTCTCAGAGCAACAACTTTGTTATTTTCACATCTGTTCAAACTTTACTACGTTCTTCAAATAACTAAAATGATGATCGACGTGATGAAATAATAAAGATAAATCTTAATGCTTACATGTTTTGTATGTATTTTAAGTGTAAACAGCGCAGTATTACAAAAAGTTTGCAAAGACGTGACAAACATTAAGCAATTGTATATGCACGTCCTAGTAAATACATTAACAAAAGCGTATAAGATTATTCGTAGTTGACAATCTCAAATAGTAAGACACGAGAAACTGACGAGTGAATTACATCTTATTTTTGTGTAAAACGAGGACTAGGTCCAACACTGAAATACCATGGCATTCTCAACATGAAATCGTGATAAAAATAAAACACATCAGCTGACAAAAAATTTTCAGCACATTACTGATATACACTTTCTGGGCCGTGCATTTAGAACACAGGAAATAAGGCTGCAACCGACCCTTGTGTATGCAAACATTTGTCATCTTACTCTCTGTGAGTGTGACGGTGGTGGTGGCGTTCGCTGTGACGGGCAACGTGATCTCTGTATCCGAGTCTCCTGCAGGTAAACTGATGATGGTGGCTTCTCCCAGGAGGTTACAGATCCTCTGCTGCATGGCAGTGAGAAGGACGGGAACGGGAGTGCAGTCGGTGGACGTCCCCTCTATCGCAGCCCGTGCCTGGGCCACTTTCCTCCGGACCTCCGTCTTCATATCGGACCACTTTTTCTTGACCTCAGGCAACTCTCTTGGACAGGTCGTGACAGCGTTCACCTTTTTGAGGATCTCCAACCATGCGTTGTTCTTTGCCATGTGGGTGACTCCAGCATTGAAGTGGTTTACCAGTGTGTGCTTTTGTTTCTCTATTTCTTCCACAATAATTTCAACCTCTCTCTCCGAGAAATTCATTTTTCTCTTTTTCGCAACCGACACCATAATTGCATAAAGTCCTATTTTGGAGAAGTAGTTGTGCGTACTATACGCAAAAATAGTACTCAATTGATATGCGCAACGTAATGGCTTCCAGAATCGGCTTCTTCTTCCTACTAAGGAGCGTACGTTAGCTAGGTCATTATCCCGCCCTCTCTTGATTCCATTGGTTGGGTGTTTTGGGATAATTCGATATGACCCATTTTTATTGGCTGCGTAAAATGCCAGTCATTTAACGAGGCAAACAAACTATGTGATTCAAAGCCAAAAAAAAAAAAACAACCCAAAACATCAGCCATATAATTTATATTCTCATTCTTTTTTTAGTTTTGTACGATTAATTGAAAAAAAACCCCAACACCCAATACTGTTAGACCACGGATTCTGATTAGACAAAATGCATGTCCAAAAGTAAATCAGGAACACATTGTAAATAAAAAGAATCAACACTCACCAATATGAAATTGCACATTTTTCAAACAGAATACTCATTTTATAGGATGGCACTAAATAAGGCACATTACCAAACGGAGGTCAGAGACAATGCTTCTCGACCTTTTATTGAGAGAATGCACGTTTTCCTTAACAAAAATGTCACAAAAGATTTGACTATCACATTTGGAAACGCTGCAAAACGAGATTTAAAATATAATTCAGTAGATCGGCAGCAAACGTTGGTTTACAGTGAATAAAAACAAAAAACATTTACCTTTGTAGTTTCGAGGTTGGGGCATTTCTTTGAGCAGGGGTGGCAGTAAAGTGAGGCTTCATTTGAATCTTGTTAGCAACTTTACGGCCAGGTAATTTGTAGATGAGTTTTTTAATGCATCGGTTTGTCATTGAGATCTAATAAAACAATTTTAAAATGTTAAATGTAAATTTATGTTATCGGTTATTGGCGCAAAGACTTTCTTGGCCACATGTTGACAATTTGTCATTTTGTCATGAAAATATTTTTTGAAGTGGTAATTAGTGGCTGAATCAATTTCATTGAGAGTAAGAACAGCATTGTAAATGCACTGTATTTTAATAAAGGCACATCTTTTTAGCTTGACTTTTGAATAACTTATTTCTATAAACGTATTGATATACTTTTTTAATTCTTTTAATTTCAGCCATTTTGTTGTTTTTTTAGCATCAGTGTTGCCTCATGAGGGGCCTCCACACTGGGAGGTTTAACACTGGCATTCTTGTCAGCGTGGATGAGCTCCCCTTGGGTGCTCTTTTCCTCATTAGGGTTTCTTTGTGCCTTGCAATGTATTTTTTAATATAAAATATTTTAGAATGTTATGTGTGCGTGCGTGTGCACGAGCACAGGCCTGCTTGTGGGGATGTGTCTGTGCATGATTGGGGGGAGGGTCCTCTTTTTATGAGTATTTTGGATGTTTTAATTGCACAGCACTTTGAGTTGCAGTTTTATGTATGAAAAGTGCTATATAAATAAAGTTTGATTGATTGAAAGAGTGCTAAATTGTAGGATGAAATAACATTAAGCATTGTTAAACGAATTATAAGAATGCTTTGTGACTTTTTAATCCATTGAATGGTTTATTGGTGAGTTGATTTTTGTAATAGGGAAGGATTACTTGTTATCTTAATTTTTGCAAGATATCATTATTATTACCAGGCCACCGAGTGGTAGAGGCGTCTCATCATGCCTGTCCCGGAGGTTCCTCGGCTGGAGGACTTCAATGAGAAGAAAGACATTAATGAGATAGTCTAGTTAAGGGTGCGCGTTGCCTGAGTAAAATATAGTTTGTTGATTTTGCTTCCTTATGTGCTCCACATGCATTGCTTGGGCATATTAATAAATAATACACACACACACACACACACACACACACACACACACACACACACACACACACACACACACAGTCCGTTCATTATAGGTCACATATTTGATCATGCACATATATAAGATTTTGCATAAATAATCTCACAGGAAAGACTCCACTGCCGTGTCTCGATCTTTTTGGCTTCCATTAAATTGTTCAAATGAGAATATGCAGTCTACTGGTAGTTGCTATTTGCATACGAGCATGAAAGATAAAAGAACCAGGCAAAGCTTCCTTCGGAACTTTTCTTAAAAGTATATGGATTTTTATTTCACTAAGATTTAACCACTCAATCCAGTTATATAATGAGATGAATGAATGCAAAATGAAAATGAAGAAACACATTTTACATACCAAATAAAAAAAAACAAACACCTCAATTCATCCAAAAAGTTACAGCACTCTTCATGATGTAAGTAATTAGCGGCCCAAATTTAAAAACGGAGCAGGCCGTATTTGTCTATTGGGCGATGTATTGATCCCAGTCTGGGCAGCAGAGTGTATCACAATTTAATAAAACATATGTATGAGTTCAACTAAATGATTTTGACATTAGTCACTTGTTATCTTTTGGAATTCATCTTGGATTATTATTTTTTGTCAGTACAGGTTTGTGCCCAGGGAAGACTTAACTGGAAGTGTGACTTTTCTCATATCCTCAACACAATGTTGAATTTATGCAATAGACTCTGCATATTCAAAATTAAACAGAAAACTCCCTTTGACTCAAAAAGTGCATGTGAGATGCATAAAATTTGCATGGATGTCTGCACACGTCTCCTGGTGAGATTAGATACGTTACATATATGGCCAGGGACCGTTACTAAGCTCCCTGATACCGGATAGCTTTCAATTAGAAACTAATTTGGGAATGCCAGCACATTTTTATAGATATGGTTGTATCTTAATATCGAGAAGAAACATTAAAGCCAAGTCGAGGGAGAGTGGTACAGTAGTGTGTTGCCAAGAGGTTACCAAGTTTCTTTTACTCATATTCTGGTTATGGGTTCCCAGCTCCGGACTTCCTGTGTGGAGTTTGCATGTTCTCTCCGTGCCTGCGTGGGTTTTCTCCGGGTACAACAGTTTCCTCCCACATTCCAAAAACATGGATGGAAGGCTGATTGAACACTTGAAATTGTCCCGAGGTGTGTGTGTGAGCGCGGATGATTGTTCGTCTCTGTGTGCCCCCCGCCTACTGCCCGAAGACAGCTGGGATAGGCCCCAGCATGCCTGGCGACCCTTGTGAGGATAAATCGGATCAGAAAATGGATGGATGGATCACTCTCTCTCTCTCACAAAACAAAAAAGGAATACGGGAGAAGATGCAAACGCCACACAGGAAGGCCAAGGCTGAATTTGAACCCTGGACCTCTGCACTGTGAAGTGCATGCGCCGCCGTGCTGCCCTAAAAAATATCCAACCAAATTAAAAACAAATACAGGGTGAGGCAAAATGATCTGACACATTTGTAGGTTAAAACCCCTTAAAGTTAGGAGGGCCCCGTCAAGGGCCCTCCGTCATCTGTCAAAACAAATCGCTGATGCACGTCGTCATGTGTGAACATGTTATACATCTTTTAAAAGCTGAGTTTCTGGAGATTTGAATGGTACCCTACATGTTACAATTGTCAAATTTGAACCGAAGCTTGGGGAGACTTAAGCTTTGATCCAATAGTGTTTTCAAATCGCTGATGCACGTCGTCATGTGTGAACATGTTATACATCTTTTAAAAGCTGAGTTTCTGGAGATTTGAATGGTACCCTACATGTTACAATTGTCAAATTTGAACCGAAGCTTGGGGAGACTTAAGCTTTGATCCAATAGTGTTTTCAAATCCCAATCAACATTCTAAATCAATTTTCAAGGCAAATATTGTGAAAAGAAATTAGACGAACATAAGATTCGCCTTTTTCTTCTGTTTTCAAACATCCATAGTTCAGTGACAGGAGCACTTACACAAATTCTTACTGTATGGGAGAAATATTCATAATGTGACATTTTGTATATTTCAAAAAGTGACCAAAACTATGCTTATACTCCAAATGGTTCAAGAATAGCTAAAAATGGACTTTGGGTGCACCTTTCCACAGGCGTTTTCGGCAAAGTTGCCCTCGGTTTAAGGGGTTAAATAAAAGGCAAATAAAGTAATGATCTTTTCAAAAATAAAAGCACTCTTTTGTTTCTTTGCTTTATTTGCCTTTTATTTAACCTACAAATGTGTCAGATCATTTTGCCTGGCCCGATATAATGCCATTCTGTTTCGTCATGTTTTAAAAATTAAGTTGAGTTCTGGCGGTGCGAGATCGGCCGGTTGATTTTCGTTTCAATGCAGATCCAGTATAGCTCTGAAGTTGGCAACCCAAGCTGGTACGGGATCATGTCTACCATGATTGAAGTGCAAAAGGAAGGCTTGTTGTGTTGCAGTTACAGATTCGTTTGTTTTGATAAACGTTTCCACAATGAAAGCTCGATTCTCACCAGTCCAATTCATGGCAGCAACTGAAAGAGAAATGAAAAACAATGGCATTATAAAGAAACAAAGCAAAATGGCATTATATGTACTTTTCGAAAATAAAAACACTTTTTTGTTTCTTTACTTTATTTGCCTTTTATTTAACCTACAAATGTGTCAGATCATTTTGCCTGACCCTGTACAATGGACTTAATAGTGTAACCGTTAAGTCTAATATTGCATGATAGGTTGTTAATTCGTGTAGGCCTCCTTTTAAAATGAGATTAAAGCATTTCTCTGAATCCAGCGTTGTCTTGGGCCATGTTCCTGTAAACTGCCTTGTAAACCATCAACACGTCGAGGGCTGATGGGCGGAGTTTAGGGTCTTCTGCCTTACACTCCTTATGAATTTGAAAAAGATGGAAGTGGATCAAATCTCCTCCAGCCACAGTTCCTATCAGGAACCGTACCACATCTGGGATCTTCCAGATATCTGTCCGTTCATTATACTCATGCATAAGATCGTCAGAAAAAGGCTCCCCAATGTTATTGAATGGCCACAGCTGCTCCGGCGCCACAAAGTCACCGCTGAGCTCCCGGTGGCCGCATTTCACCAGCAAGCCCCTGGATAAGTCCACCTCAGGCAATGCATCCAAGTCATTCACCACCATGTGAAAGTCATTTGTGAGCAGAAACTGGGAGAGAGTTTTCTCCAGGCTGTTGGAATCGCACATCACCCTCCGACCAGCGGGGCTGTTGTGGAGGTAATGGAGGATAGAGACATAGTCTATCGCCAACAACAGCCGTGTATGCCAAGTGTTGCGATGTTTTTGCTGCTCCTGTGCCAGAACTGTGTTCAAATTGAGAAGTGAGCCCAGTGGATGATACTCTGTGACCAAGGTATGGTCTTCAAGGCAAAACCCGACCAACTGTACCACCAGGGGACCCTGCAATGCCTGTAACATTGACAATCCGTGGAGAAAATCCTGAGAGTAATCCAGAGACGACAGTTTGGACACAGCCACCTTTTGTCCTTTCCATTCTGCTAAGTAGACCTGAGGGAGGACACAGACGTGTAAGAGTTTAGGACTACAGTACATGCACATGAGTTGGTAACTCAACTACTGCATACAAAGTGCTGTATAGGAGCAAAAATGTGTCATACAACATCAAAGACAAAGAAATAAATGAATAACATTAAAACACCAACAAATACTAAAACAATACCAAGTCTCATCCTGAGTCAAAAGCCCAAGAATATATGTGGCTTAAGATGAGTTTTAAAGATGAGCAGAAAGGGGACTTGCCTAACGTTTAGCGCAAGGGTGCCCAACCTTTTTTAAACAAAGATCTACTTTTAGAACAATCAACCACCGCGATTCCGCACTGCTTTTTCAATTTTATTTTTTAAATACGTTTTTTGTAAAAGTGAAACTGAAAGGATGCATCAGGAAACATCCTTCACCACAGCTGCCCCTCACACTATTCAACTGCCCTGTGTCAACCGTCGTTTCTGGGAATCACAGTCCCCCAAGACATGAAGTCGGAGGTCAACACCAACTCCATCCTGAAAAACGCTCAGCGGAGGATGTACTTCCTGAGGCTGCTGAGGAAGCGTAGCCTGCAACAGGAGATGCTAAGACAGTTCTACACAGCAGTCATCGAATCAATCCTATGTTCTTCCATCACGGTTTGGTTTAGGGCCACCACAAAAAAGGACAAAATCCGACTGCAACGGACAGTTTGGACGGCGGAAGAAAATCATTGGCACCGCCCTATCCACTCTTGAGGACTTGCACACCGCAAGAACCAAGACAAGGGCACGGAAAATCCTACTGGACCCCCCACACCCTGCCCACCATCTTTTGCAGTTACTCACCACAGGCAAGCCCTACCGATCCATGCGCACTAAATGCACCAGACATTCAAACAGCTTCTTCCCTCGAGCCATTAACTCCCTAAACAACCCAGCGGCTCAATTTTGCACCCCCTGTGGAACAGCATTACCGCAATAATCATTGTAGCTCCAGCTCTGTACTGACTTGAACCATTGTCATTGAGCAATATTCCACAGCACCAGACACTTTAAAGCGCTCAAGGACTTCTGTACAATTGCACACTTGTACCTCAAAAACTGCTACTGGTTACTTTAAAATGGTGCAATGATTATCTGCACCAACTGCACAACTGTTAAAGTATTGGATTCTACCACTAATCACTTTAGCTCTGCTTAATACTTTGCAAGTTGTCTCACAGCTGTCATTGGGTGGTACTACTGCACAACAGTGCCCTTACATGACGGAATGTCTTTCCATACTTATTTGTCATGTCCTTGTTTGTCGTAGTTGCTTGTTATTGATGATACTAGTGTAGCCTGTACTACCGGAGACAAATTCCTTGTGTGTTCAACATACTTGGCCAATAAAGATGATTCTGTTTCTGATCCTAAACATGAATCTGAAGAGACGTATCATAGCATTTCATCATGAATTTACGGTAAATCAAAATTGTAATATGCGGACGGCATTTGTTTTAGAAAGCTTATGTCAACCGATGAGGCTGGGGTTCATGCTTTTCATTTCAAAGCTAGCTCTGGATCTTAGGTGGAAACAAGTGATGAGACAACCATGCCTACGTATTTGTTGTGAGAGAGTGAAACTGGGTTCGTGTTTGCATGCGTGTGTGTGTGTGTGTGTGTGTGTGTGTGTGTGTGAGACGACACTCGAAGTCGGACGGACACATTTTTCTGCCAATCTGTGTGTTTCCCTTTTCGTCCAAATATATTTTTTACGACAACTGTCTTGTCCACGGTGTCTTTTGTTCGTTCCACTGGGGTTTAGCAAGTGTGTTTATAAAGAGACGAAAATCTCTTTCCTGTTATTCGTGTTAGTGTTTCAACACAGCTACGCTCGTGAAAGCAAAACAACAAACTCAAACGCGTCTTCGTGCAATGTTGTCAACTAATATCCGGATTAATTTTCGGCAAATTTTCCTCAATTCTCCGGACAGATTTTCATAAAAATAATGAAAAACCCGGAATTCCGGGAAAATCCGGAGGACTTTCATCTCTGCTGAGGGACCAGCACGGGAATGGCTCGATCCCCTCTGAGCCTCCTTTTATTCCTCGGTACCCCCTGTTGCGTCTTTTTCGAAGTGCTATTGTGAAAGGAGAGGCTTTACTGCCTTTTTAACAACAGCACAAATTTGCCAGTCCAATTTAAAATCACTGTCCAGTTTAATACCTAATTTCAAGATTGCTGGCTTTAGATAAAGGCGCCAGGGGGCCCAAGTCAGCAGAATGGGATGTAGACCACTGGGACCAAAAATCATATTCTTTTTTCTCATCAAGGCTTTGATTTCCTCCAGACAGGGCAAAAGTGGCCTCGATGAGAAAACGTAATTTTTCCTCACCGGGACATAGATCTGACATTCATCAACATACTGTAGGAGTGGAAGGAAATATTTTCTTAAGATCGACCCCATTTGGCAGCAGATACAATGAAATCAATAACGGCCCAGGAATTGAACCCTGTGGAACACCATACGACAATGTTGTCGAATGGTTTGGGACTCTGAGCAACCAAGCCTAACACAAAAAGTTCTGTCAGCCAAATTTAAACCACAATAGTACGCTACCACCAATTCACACCTGGTGCTGCAAATGAGCCAACAAAATGCTGTGGTCCACCGTAATCAGGGATGAGACTGGCTAGTGATGAAAAAAATCTGAAAATCAGCCAGGAGGTCTGGGGGCCACAGATGCTAATGGGTTTTAGAGATTTTAAAGCCTTAAAACTATTAATTTTATCAACAAAATTTTATAATTTTTGTTGAAATACCATTCCCTATTTGCTTACAAAATTGGCACTTTATACTAAACATGCTAAAGATGAACTGTATTTAATGTACACACTACTTGAAACTTTCACAGAAAAAAATACCAAGATTGTTCACTTTTCTTTCAAGTGAAAATTTGACATAGGCCTTTGTGCAATTTTGCAGTTCGCATAATAAAAGAGACATGTTGTTTCAACAACTGTACCTTCTTCACTGCGCCCTGGCCGATGAGCTTCAGTTTGCGAACTTCCGCTTCTAGAAGAGGACATTGAAGCCAAGGAGTGCAGTTCTTCATTGTCGGCATTTTAAAGTGTTGAGCCATACAACCGGTATGGGCGATGACTGGTTGTCCATCTGACTGGTACAAAGAGTCCAAATACAGGTAGATGAAGATGTTGCTGAGGAGTAAAGCTGCAAGGCAGATCGCCACCACTGGAGTGCTCTGGTAGAATGAAGTACTGCTTCGACGACTCATGTTGCACTGCAACCAACCAAGGAAATAAAGCAATAATAACATGCTGGAGATAATTCAAACGTCAGTAAACCTACAGCATCATAAAAAAAATTAAAAAAAATCAGCATCCATGTGGCATCTTCAGTTGCGGGGTACATACATGGTTGCATGATTATGACACAAACTTGATAAATAAGGCGGTGTTTTACGGGGTTTCATTTTTCATATCCTCCTGAGACCTGAGGAAGACGTATATTTCAATTTAATTTTTTTTTGTAATTTCCTGCCCGTGTGGAGCTAAATCAACAACTTACAATATAGAATTTTCTAAAATTATTTTCACTTAAGGATTTACAGCATGCCTACTGTAGTGATTAGCAGTGATAAAAAAAAAGCATCCATCCATCCATTCATTTTCAACACCGTTTATCCTCAACAGGTCACGGGAGGGTGCTGGAGCCTGTCCGAGTTGACTTTGGGCAAAAGGCAGAATACACCCTGAACTGGTCGCCAGTCACGCACAACCATTCATTCCCACATTAACACTGTCACTGAGTGGGAATCGATCCCATGCTGCCCGCACACAAGTCAGGCAAGTGTACCACTACACCATCAGCGAATCATTTAAGGAAAAAAAAACAAAAGCAATATCTCAAAAATATGTATCTTTTTTTTTTGCTGCAGTCTTCATTTTATCTCCGCAAGAAAGCTGTTTATTTTGATCCCACCCAAACACATGAGATATAATTGGAAAGGCCAATATGTCCTCAACTGAGCACACCACGACTTAGTAGGGCAGCTTTAATGAGTAAAGACATATACTGTATACCAAAATGGAATGTCCACTACAGTGACTGAGGAGGATATATCCTTGTTGAACAAAACAACAATAACAGTCACTAAAAACTTTGCGAAATGTCAATTGTTATGACTGCTTTTGAATTGCATCAATTTGCATCAACATTTTTTCTTCATTATTACACTTTATTGATTGTTGACATGATGTCACAGATTTTTAAGTTTCAGAGCCTACTTTTTATTTGACAACAAAGAGGGAGAAAATTGGAAAACAAGAGTAATTTACACAGTCACAGTGAAATACAGCATAGTGGGGATCTGTATGTGATGTATATTAAGATCGTCACTTCAGCTTTCAGCAACAGAACCAAAGTAATCTACTCTACTCGAACATGCAAACCCAATGAGCTGACTCGAGACTGAGTTCCTTAAAAATAGGAAAGCGCCCTTTTAGTTAGCTAACCAACGTGAGTCCACACATTAAACTTACCTACAATCCTGCTGGGTCACAAGGTAATAAGCACAATCACAGAAAACGACTAGTTCGTTACATTGCATGGTACCACAGGGTTATAAGAGATCTCTCATTACAATGAGAAAAAACCGGAAACAAATCATCACTTCCTGTAAAAATCTTCCAAAATAAAAAAGATGAGCTCTGGCTTTGCCTTCCGTCCGGATTTAATATGATGGTTATTATTTTTATTAATAGATTTTTTTAAAGGAATTTAATATTTTAATAACGTTACTTTTTTATCTAACGTATACACGAATTAATAAATTAAGCGTTCAAGACGTGAAATCGACAAGAAAAGGTGAGAGAACTCTGTTTAGCACTAAACAGGAAAACCTTACGGCGGGATATTTTATGCAGTTCCCGAGTCAGGAATATTAATACGTCCATAAAAATTTGTAACTGGAATTGAATCAAATACTCCGAAAAACAGGGCGTCCGATTATATTCATCGCTTTTATTTTGAAAATATAGGAAACCGGACAGATTTGTGTATGTGACTGACAAGATAAATCCGATGGGCATGACTGAAGTTATCGTCATAATACAGTTGACGGGAGAATATCTGCGGCGTTCAGGTAACCAAGTATTCATATTTACAAAACCTTAGTAAAGTTGTCTCTCCAAGCATAGAATTATTATTATGTAGCCAACAATTGATGTATCTCGGTGTAAGTTAATTGGCTGCTATGGCATTTTTAAACTGTGAAAAGCTATTTCTGTCTAATGTAATGTCATAACTAGTTACACCTACATGGCTTTTATGGTAGTATTCATAATCGAATTCGAGATGGCATTGCTTCTGTCAGATTGCATTCTCACGCGAAGGGATGCAACGCGTTTATTAGCAGCCATGTTGCAAGAGTTTAAGATGGCTATTTTGTAACATACTGTAGCTTCCTGTTTGAGGTGTGATATCTCAGACAGGGCACTCACAATCGATAAGTCACTCTTGATAAACAAGATGAAATCAAACCAAACAAAGCGTGTTGTATTGAATGTATCTCATTCAATGTAATGTGTTGTTAAATTTGCAACCTCTTCAGGTTCGCTTCGTTTGATCGGCTATGGATTACTTTTCAGCAGGAAATTAAAACACATTCCATATATATCGAGATGCACAGGTGATAGTTTGGATGTAAATTGCGTTATCGATAGATTTGTGGATGTTATTGTGTTTACTCGTGGGCTACGTGCTGTGTTCATGATCGGACTCAGCCCTGTTTCCATAGTTTCCTCCCTCCTTCTCCCATTTGGCTGTGATGTCATGAACACAACTGCGCGGTTCAGTCGCCTCGCCCCCTTACTTCCACCTGACCGTTGTTAGGGATGAGTCACACAGTGAGTCACAGAATTCTGTACATCGCCGATTTTTGATATCACATTGACATCATCGGGATTTGCTTCAAAATGTCGTATACAATGGTACGTACATGGATAGATAACTTCTGTTAGAATTGCTGGGATCATCAATTACCATAACCAGTTGTAGTGGGCCAGTGACCAAATGTTCAAGTCAAATTTATTTTGCCCTGAATTACAATACCTCTTAAAGGGCTTCAGGTGCCGACCATTGACAAGTATTAAATACATCACTTGGTCTTAACCCCTAGGAGGGCAAGGAAAACAAAACTAACAAAAAAAAATCCCAAAACATCTTTGGAAAAATGAAAAACCCTGAGAATGCACCACAGATGAGAGAACGCCTTTTCCAGGATGACCAGCCTGCAATGGTTGCCGAAGTGGACAATCAAACGCACAGTATTTTTTTCTCAGCTACACATACACACTAAACACAGATCCACTCACACAACTTCACACTCTAATAGAGCTCAATCAAAACATGTGTCTTTAAACTAATGCAGTTCTACATTTTGTATGGGTACAGTACTTTCAAATATCATGGTGGACTGTGATTCCAAAATACTGTAACAAGGGTAATTTACATGTTGTTAAATGCATAGCATCATCATCTCTGTAAAGATAACTTCTCAATCAATGAAAGCAGTTAAATGTGTAAGATATAGGCCTGAAATACCATTGTGGAAAAAGTTCCAATACTGTACCACCCAAATTGAGTTAGCAAATAAACATATACATTTTGGTCGTAGCAACACACTAAGCAAGAGATACATAGATGTGTGTGCATTCTCTCTCTCTTTATATATATATATATATATATATATATATATAAATACACACACACACATATATTTTGTTTTGTTACTGTCGTGTACAGTATAGCATGAACTATTGTTGCTGCAGTTAGCTTGATTTCTTCCTGAAGGTGTTCACATAAATAAGCAGATACCGGTAGTCGATGCAAAAAAAAAAAAAAAAAACCCTCAAGCGTTGTGCATTTATTTTTTAAACGAGGTACTCAAATTATCCGTTTCAGCCCTAGATCTGTGCATCTGTGATCGATTGCTCTTACTAAAGTACCCAGATTTTTATCAAGCGAACTGAATTTGTCGTGAGCAAACTGAATGTGAAAATATACAGATTTGAAATTTTCAGTGAAGATCAAATAAAGTTTCAGAAAAAAACTGAAATTTAATTTCAAATCTGTTGGTACTTCAGTTTCAAATTAGTCCTATCGATTGAAATTTTACAGCTCATATTTAGTTTTTCAATGCACTGATTCAAATGACGCTGTAAAAATTCTATTCATGTTGTTCAAATTCTTTGTTCCGCAATTCCAAAATCATGCTGGGTAGGTTAATGGAATACTTGTCCCGAGGTGTAGTTCTGAGTGTGGCTAGTTGCTTGTGCTCTGTGACTGAATGGCAACCAGTTCATTGTGTACCCTGCTGCAGCATGCCTGTTACCCTCATGAGAATGAGCGGTTTGGATAATGGATGGATGATAACAATTCACTTTTTGAATGCAATAATTTAAGTTGAGCGATTCAAATTCAAAATATAACTGATTCAAATGAAGTTTCTGGTGGCACATATTTCAGCACACATGGTTTGCGGCAAGGCTTCAAAGGGTGTGGTGTAATTCAGGGAGTAATTTATGAAACGTGTGTTGAGGCCAAATTTGTTATGGGCCAAAAAAAATCACACATGGCATGTAAAGGATTGCTGTTTCAAAGAGTGGTTTGAACTTGGCGTGGTTCCTGAACGTCCTAATGTTGTGTTTGTAGTCATGCTGCAACCTGACCATTGAACTGAAAACAAGTGTTTCCCTTATATGGCAACACTTTGAGTAGGTCAATCCAAATAACTAAGTCATTTACAAGCTTCTTTCATTCCATTGTTAAACGTGTTAAGTCGGTTGTTCTGTTTTGGAGTTATGCCCAGGAAGCAGTCTGGTTTCATTTAGAAGTGCAGCGATACCTCACAGAAGCAACCATTGGCAAAAGTGATTATTATAATGTGTATACGATTTTAATTCATATACAGTATAAATATAATGTAGGAACCCCCATATTGCTGGGCAGGACAAGTGCATATATTTGCACTTATGCACGAAGAAAATGTTTAATTAAAAAAAAAAATATATATATATATATATATATGTATATATATATATTTTACCATCTTTTGAATAATTCGCATCAGTCTTAAAATAAAAATTGCATATCTTATCGGAAGTGTTTCATTATGTGTCCTATCTTTATGTGCAATACCTGTCATTTATAAGAGTGGCCTTGCCTTGACTGTGTGATGTGGAATAATGTAGACTGAATACATCTTCTTGCCTAGTTGGTGGAGCCCTAACCAGTAGCTCAACATGCCAATAGAGTGCCTCCTCCTTTAGATGCACTTCCCTCATCTCCTGACTGTTCAAGCAAGAGAATAAGGTAAGTAGTTGTGACAGAATCACTCTATTTTCAGTTTTATCTTTTCCACAGCTCATGGCTGACAAATGCTGTTTCATTTTTGCAGGTGTTAGGACCACAAGCACGATGGGCCGCCCGAGTTTATATATGATTCTGCTCGCATTCATTTGTCACAGTTATGGCCAGGACGCATTCAATCCACTTTATAGGTCCAAAAGGTAGGAAAATCCTGTTTTTATTTATTTTTTTCAATTTTGTGAGGATATATTTTGTTGTACTACCGGTAGTATGTTTTTTTTTTTGTCATATATTTTATTTTTTTGCTCATACCGGTATATAAATTTGTGTCAATGTAGGCGTTACTCGATTTTAAAGAGCTTTTGAGTTGGGTTTTTTTTAGTTTTTCATTTTTTGATGATGCCAAATCTCATCTGTCTGCCAAAAAGTCTTTGCATTCCTTTGGCCAGTCATCCTGTTCAGTGTCGTAGAGGAGTTTGATCTGATCGCTAAAGTACAGTCAAACCTCGGTTGTCGAATGTCTCTGTTCTTGACCAAATCGGTTTTCGACCAAAAATTTTGAGTTTTTTATGCCTCGGATTACAACCGAAAATCGGTTCTCGACCAAACTGAGCGCACTTGAATGCACCACTTGACTCCTCTTGACTTCCTTACACGAAGAAGTGACGCTTCCTCGTGTTGCGTTCCATTGTGAGCAGACGTGTTCAATAAAGATTTTTTTTTTTTTAAAAAGAGCGTAGTTTCGGTTTTCGAACAAATCGGTTTTCGAACAGCCTTCTGGAACGGATTATGGTCGAAAACCGAGGTATGACTGTATATAGCCTTTTTCAAAAGTCGTAATTAAACCTAGTGCAACAGAACGCCAAATTAGTAAACAGTCCACCAAAGTTGTGGGTATGTTTAAAGCGATATTATCTCAAGTTATTAAAAGTATCCTAGGCTTTGAACATAGCACTTAGCCCCATTCAATCCATCATCAAAAAAAGGACATGGACATAGGACAACTGCATACCTACCCAGAAATGTCCATCCAATTGAACTACGGGTTGGTAATGTGCTGTGCCATACCTTCTCTATAGTTTATTCTTGCCATCATTCTGGTCGAGATTGATCTTGGCTTGGCTTCTTTTTTTTTTGGTCTGTTGCCCAACAATTTAAGTATGCTGTAGCATAACCCTTGCTCAAGAAACCTGGCCCTGATCAAAATGTACTGTCAAATTTTAGACCCATTTTCAAGCTACTATTAATTGGCGGTGCACACAAATCTTTCTTAGATTAACATGTATGTTGTATGTTTTATATATGTTCAATAAACAAACAAACAAACATACTGTCACAGACATTTTTCAGTCAGTTTTTAAGATGATGCCACAGAGTCAGCCCTGTTACGAGTTTTTAGTGACATTTTCCTCGCAAATGAGACTGGAGACTAGGTGTGTCTGGTTTGTCTGGATTTAACTGTAGCATTTGATACGGTGGATCCGAGTACTCTGTTTGTTCATGTGAAGCAACAGGTAGGCATTGGTGGTAGCGCCCTTGAGTGGTTTAGATCCTATTTGGCTTTTTGTGTTAGCCTTGGTTGTTCCATACTGCTCCACTGTTGTATGGTGTTCCACAGGGTTCAATTCTGTGGCTTCTGCTGTTTTCATGGTATCTGCTGCCTTTGGGTTCCATCTTAAGGAAACATGGTATTATTTCCTTCCATTATGGGGAGAGAATTGGGTAAAAATGATTCGCAAGTACATATGCGATTTTCACATGTTTTTCAGATTCATAAATACAACTGCAATTTCTTCATGTGCATTTGTGAATGAGCGAACACGCACAATTATTTTTGACACAAACATCACACCCTTTCAAGATATCCACACACAGGTCTCCGATATTCGCATGTGTTGAAAGACCATCCCACAATCGTCTTTGAGGAGGCGCTGTTGCTGTCTCCATTGAACGGAAGCGAGCTATCTCCTTTTTCTAGTTTAAAAATCGGACATTGAAAAATGGAAAACGAGCCTTTATCTTATCTTCTGTTTTGTGTTTGTAAAACAAAGGTCAGGAAACAAAATTACCCTTTTTTTTGTTTTCCTCAAGATTGTTTTGCCTTGACTCGGAAGATGTTCTTCTGTTGCTAGCTAATAATAGTGAATAAATAAATCCGCGTGTCGGCTTATCCTCAAACGCACATTCAACACTTCACACACAGAATTGAATATTTACAAATGATAAGTCATGACATATACAACAACAAAACAACACACACGAAAAAAAATTTATTCCACTGCTATGCAGATGACTGTCAGATGTATGTCCTGCTGAGCAAAAAAAGACGCTTTCTCATTGAGGCAATTTTTGTCCTGTCTCGAGGAAATCAAGACCGAGATGGCACTGAATTTCTTGAATTTCAATGAAAAGAAAACATAAATTATAGTGTTTGCTCCCAGTGGCCCTTGCACATCCCATCCTACAGACTTGGGCCCCCTGATGCTTTATCTAAAGCCAACAGTCTCGAACTTGGGTCTTCAACTGGACTGTGATTTTTAAATTGGGCGGGCAAATTAGTGGTGTTTTTAAATACATTTTTTTTCATCCTAGGTAGCTGGCTAAGGTAAAGCCTCGTCTTTCTGAACTGCAGTTTAAATTGTGATTCATGTCACATCTGGGCTGGATTACAATAATGAACTTTTATTTTTGAGTCAACAAATCCTCCATCAAGCCTCTCCAGTTTGTCCAAAATGCTGCTTCTCGCCTCTTGACTGGTACTTATGAGAGGAAGCACATAAAACCTCCTGCGCATCTTCGGACAGTGAACCAAATGCTATTAGAGGTACTGAGGATTTAGTAGATCCTCTCTCTGCCCATCTTTAAAATTCATCTGAAATCACATTTTGATTCAGCTTGAGACTTTTGTTTTTAAAGCTGAGTCGCACTTTGTCAATGTCAATAACATAACCATAATTTGAGTTTTTGAATATTTTATACTTTTTCATTAAATAGGTGAAAAAAGCTAAACTTTTGTCAATGTCCAAATATATACTGCATGTACCTAACTGTAATAGCCATAAATAAAACACATGTATTGGTATGTCCCTCAGGATTCAAGAAAGTGCTGGATCAGATTCCAATGATTGTTTGCCAAGATCAAATGGGCCACAGATCTCCACAAACTCTCCCAACTTCTCTGTGGATCTTCGAATGCCTGGTGTCATCCCAGCTAAGGTAGGGATGCTCTATTGATTAACCTACCTGTACGAACTCTCACCTTCAATTCTACTTGAATTGTAGAGCATGGGTAATGAACAGTTTAGCAGCAAATTGGTTGAAGCCCTAAAGTGACAAAAAATAGGTCTTGTAATATTGACACACTGCACAGAAGAGAATTGTGATCAAGCCTGCCAAATTTGAATGAATAAAAGCAAGGCCAAAACAGAAGGTTTTGAAATCGTAATAGAGCCTGGCCTCCATCTGCAGAGCTGTGTGGGCGTGTTCCCAGACGCCGAACCTCAGCTGCCAATAAGTACGTGACTGCTCCATCCTTCAGGGTGATACATACGCTATCATGGGCAACAAAGAATCTGTGATAGCCAGGCAGCTCCTGAGCCCTGACGGCCGGTCCAGTCCACTTTTTCCCCCTCCTTTGCCTCCACTGAAATTTAGTGGGCCTCTGGTGCCGACCGTGGTGCACTGTGAGGCGGCAGCACAATGCTCCGAGCCCCCTGAAAGATTTTTTTTTCGTTTCCTCCTACTTCGCACCTCACAACATCACAGACAGCAAGAGAGCACTCTAAAGCCACTGGGCCGTTTGCCGCCTTGCTACACTTACACACAGTAAAAAAACTGTAAATAAAACAAAAATTCTTTTGGGGATCTTGACTTTAATTGCTTGGATACAAATAGTTGGGTCGCTGGAGTCTGGATTGAAATTAGGCGAGCAAGGAAACTTAAAATGTTATTTTACTGTTGATGATTTCTGTAATTTCAGCATTTCTTCAAAAAAATTTTTTTCTTTGTTTTAGTCGGACACTTACTTATGCATGGCATTCCCTGTGCCAACTACCCGTAGTCATGCTGCATATGTTGGTGAGTATCATTCTTATTTAACATCTACTCAAAAATGTGTTGCATTTTTTACTGGCTGGCTTCTGTTTATTGTTTTGGTCATCCTTGCTATTGCTCTCTCAGTATTACAATTTTATAAATTCACACAATATATTACAACAACAGTACATTAAATGGTATGCACTTCTATATTGTTTTATCTACACTAACACAATAAGTTATCTAATATGTGACATGATTGATGTAAAAAGGCCATCATTATCTAATGATATTGTGAATTAATTTTACTGCCACGCCAAATCTAAACCTAAAATGAAGTATGGGGGTGGTAGTATCATGCTGTGGGATAGTTTTTCTTAAAATGGAACTGAGGTCCTGAGCCAAGTGGGAGGGAATTATGAACAGCTCAAAATAGCAGTCAGTGTTAGCAAAATATGTTTGTGCTGACCCCCATTTATTCCACATTAAGTTCGCCGCTTGAAAAAAAACAAAACGTGTTTTATTTATTTATTTTTTATCATCACTTGAGTTGTACTGTTTGTATGTCACAAAAATGGTGGAAATAGTTCTTGTATCACAAAAAAATGGTATTTGAACAGGGGTGTGTTTTATATCCAGTCTTGAGGAAAATGTACAAGCAGCAAATTGTATTTAACAGATTATTATTTTTTTAATCAGAATGACTATTATCTACACATTATGTATACCATGTACAATACAATACATATACAGTATATTTATATAGTACTTTCACAATAGCAATATACTAGTACATTAGATAAATATGATAATTTTCCATTTATGTTCTCATCTTTTTTAATTAGATGTATCATTTCAACTCTCATTTCTGTTTAACCTTGTTAATTTTTTGTTGTGTGTGTTTTTTTTTTTTTTTTAATGCTTTTCCTGTTTGAGGACCAGTTCCCCCCTGATTCATCCTCTTTATGAGTAAAGGATCTAGAAGGGACTAAAGAGAAATGCTTTTAACACAAAATCGGTTAAAGGATATTTTTAAATTGTATGCTATACATTTAGTTCAGTCTTCATTTATATTTTCTAATGGAATATTTTTCCTCCTCAGTGGACTTCATACCTCAGGCTACTATGAACACAGTCCATCACATGCTGCTGTTTGGCTGCAAGTCGCCCGTCTCCACCACCAATTACTGGTAATACCTAACTTGATGTTTGTTTTTCACAGGTTTGTTGTACAGTTATTAATATGGCAAAACTAGTTTTGTCTATGGAGCTGTCTTTTATTTAAGAACGTCCAGAGCACTACCTCGGCTGGAATATATAGGGAAGAGGGGTTTGCGGTGTCTGGGGTCTGGTGATTTTAGATGTGGTTTGAACTTTATCCTGTTGAAAGACCCACGACGTGCAGCTAAGAATAACATTTCACACACTATGCGAGTGGGGAGCTTTATTTACGTCCAGAATGCCTTGATGATCTTGAGAGCTGACGGTACCTTGCACATAAGTCTTCATGTGCCGGCTACGGCAAAGCAGCCAGTTTTGGCATCAGAGCACATCAAGGAAAGGGGACATTTTGGTGCTTAATAAATGATAGTCTTCCATTGGCTAGCAACCAGTTCAGGGTGTCCCCTGCCTACTGCCCGAAGACAGCTGGGATAGGCTCCAGCATGCCTCGCGACCCTTGTGAGGATAAAGCGGATCAGAAAATGGATGGATGAATAAATGATAGACAGTTCGAAAAAACTGTTGAGTAATCTATCTCTCGTTCCAAAACGTACTTGCATCATCAGAAAATGGTCTCTTGCTCTCACATTCACCGAGCTGTATTAGTCACTCTCACATTCACATAGCTGAGGTGACTTGACAAAAAGATTGAGTTTTGTTTCATCTGTCCAAAGTACATTGTCCCAGAAGCTTTGCAGCTCGGAAAAAATCATTTTGTCAAACAACAAAATATATGGTGCAAACAGGTGCAGATGTTTGAGAGTTGCACAAATCGTTTGATTACACTGGTTGCTTCTAAAGGTTGTGCAACAAACTACCGTATTTTCCGCACTATAAGGCGCTTCGGAGTATAAGGTGCACCTTCAATGAATAGCCTATTTTAAAACTGTTTTCATATATAGGGGCGCACTGCATTATAAGGCGCATAGAATAGAAGCTACAATAGTGGATGCAGTTGCGTTATGCACCCCGAAAATGGAGCTGTGCTAAAGGGAATACAATATAATACAATACAGCTTTATTTAAATGGCGCCTTCACAACCGCTGCAGCTGGAAGAAAGCATTTTACAAAACATTTAAAATACGTCCAAGAAATCTGAATATTGATCCATATATAAGGCAAAACGGATTATAAGGCGCATTGTTGGCTTTTGAGAAAATTGAATGCTTTTAGGTGCACCATATAGTGCAGAAAATATGGTATTCATTTAATCGTTAAGGGTACTAAGATTTTCAGATATTTCAGGGATCATTGTGAATTTTTACAAGGGTTCTAAAGCTGCAGCAGATTGTTGGTGCATGAGTCTGTTTCTGGTGCTGAGCAATGCCCTGTCTGTCACTGACTGACATTTTTCACTCAAGGGACTGTGGCAGTACACGGGGTACTTGTAAAGATGGAGCATCCATTTTGTATGCATGGGCTCGAAATGCACCACCAACGAAACTACCAAAAGGTATGTTCTAGAAGACGTGTTTGTTGTTCATGTCAACATCTATTAACATAGTCAAGCCCCACCCTCATCAAGTAAATCACTAGCTGGCAGGGGGAAGCTATTTAAATGTCACTGTGGTGAAGGCTTCCTTGAGAGTTGGCATGCATTTTAGTTTATTGTACAATTGCTTGCTCCTCCATTTTGCAAAATGAATTGTAGATGGATATCAGTGAAAGGCACCTGTCTGAACGTTTGTATGATTTACTTTTCATAATCATGCATTTCTTTTCCTTTAGTGATAGTGTATCTCTTTTTAGTCATGAAAATGTGTTCAATAGCTTGAATTCCCATAAAATTCTTACAGCTTTAGTTCTTTTGATATGTGAATCATCCGTGCTTTCCTGTAATCATTTGTGCTTTGAGGTTATATTGCCATTAGTGGTGAAAGTGGAAAACAGGCCTTTAAAAAAATACTTTTTCCAAATGTTTTCAAAGGACGATGGCATTTATTATGTTAGTACGAGGGTTATTGGAAAAAAAAAAGCCAAACAACTTCAGAGGCACTTTCTTTTAATTACTTTCTGCTTGCCAGGCACCGTAATTGTATTAATGGCCAATCTCAGGCCAACTGAACTTTCTCAAAACAACTTATAGCACAGTACAATGCATTCAATGTACAGCCATTACCCAGAGAGGCCAAGTGTAATTTTGTCTTATCTCTTCTAAAACAAACTCATTTGAATCTTGATGCTTGAACACACATTTCACTGCAAAGTGAGACGTCGCTCTGAATGCTAAGATGACAAGATGACAAGCCAATGTTGTCACGGTTGCGAGGTGGTGTTGGACCCAAAAAGCAGGCAAGAGGGAGGAGCAGGGTGTACTTGAAGAATTGTATTAAAACGGAGAAAACTAAATCCAAAGCAAACAAAGTCCAAAGTATCAAACAAAACACATGACCGAAGATAAAACATAACAATGACCAAAACCTGACTGAAACAAACATGACAGTAGCACAAAGCAACAGCAACAAACAAACATGACAGTGGCAAAGAGCAACAATGACCCGACAATGATTGTTCGGGCTGGGAGTCCTTTTAAAGCCACCAATTACCTAATGACCAACAGGTGTGCAGCTGCAGGGAGAGCCCTACAGTGCCACCTGTTGGTCCCAAACTGAATCATGACAGTACCCCTCCCTCAAGGGACGGATCCCAGACGTCCCAAAGTTGTCCAAAGGCTTGCCTCGCCGGGGAACAGGAACTAAAAGCGACGGCGACCTTCACCTTGCCGGAGAATAGGAACAAAAGCGACGGCGACCTTCGCCTCGCCGGGGAACAGGAACAAAAGCGACGGCGATCCTTCGCCTCGCCAGGGAACAGGAACAAAAGCGACGGCAATCCTTTGGCTGGGCGTGGCCTGACGTGGACGGAGCTCGACGTAACGGGGGACATGGGACAGCCGGACGTGAACAGGGGCTCGGCCTGACGTGGGCGTGGACGTGGCATGGCTCGTCGTCGACGTGAATGTGACTCAGCTCGAACAAACACGTGACGAGCCTCGGCTCAACGTGGACGCGGACGGGGCTCGGCCCACCGTAGACGCGGCTTTGACGAGACGAGAACAGGACAGCCGCATCACCAGCGCTGCCTGAAAGGGGAAAGGGTGTCGGCCGCAGACGCGCTCCGCCAGGCACATGGTGGAACAGGGACCAGTGCTTTGTACCTGCGGGGTCCAGGTGGTCGGGTCATTCTGTCACGTATGCGTGGTGGTGGTGGACCCCAAAAAGCAGGCAGGAGGGAGGAGCAGGGTGTATTCGAAGAAGTGTATTTAAAACAAAGAAAACTAAATCCAAAACAAAGTCCAAAGTAACAAACAAAAACCATGACTTAAGATAAAACATAACAGCAACCAAAACATGACTAAAACAAACCTGAGTACAGCAAACAAACGAACATGACAGTAGCGTGAGCAAACACAATGACCCGACAGTGAGTTGTCGGGCTGGGAGTCCTCTTATAGCCCTAATTACCAAATTACCAACAGGTGTGCAGCTGCAGGGGGAAAAGCCCCACAGTGCCACCTGTTGGTCATAAACCGAAACGTGACAAATGTGTGGTGAGACGATCTAGCCCCCTTTTAGGTCTGGAGCAACACAACCTCAGTTTCAAGTCCTTGTACCCTTGATTTTTTAACATTAAACACAGAAACTGGTGTATAAGAGGAGTTCAATGAGTTAGTAAGGATGCAGCCATCCCAGTTTTTCCTCACAGTACTTGGTAATGTCATTAGGTCTCGCAATTGATATGACAATGTCCTTTATTTTAATCAGAAAACTGTTCAACAAAATAAAACGCAAACCTTTCTTGAACATGGCACACGTTTATTAATTACAAATAAACCATATTTGTATCTCAGGATCTGTTGAATTTCTGCTCTTTAAATTTTGGATATTCCACAGTGGTTTCAGGAAAGCTTCTGAAGCCCAGGGAAACAAGTCACTGCAAGGCTGTTGGGGGTGTCTCTGTGACTGCATGTCAAATGATTGACACCTCATCCGTCACGCCATCACACACGATTTCCGAAAAATCAAATAGCAAATTAGAGATGCACAAGGGGGCCAGAGAGGGAATTTTTTTTCCACAGATAATTTTGGCTGTGTCCTACTGTCAGTTTTTTAATGAGAGTTTTAACAAATATTAAGAAAAAAGTCTTTTTGGGGAGGAGGTTGTTTTGTTTTTTTGTTTTTAATTGTAAACGCCCCCTTTAAATTCAGCCCGACCGGTGAACACTTTTTCTGGGTGATCCACATTTACGTAAAACTATCGGAATGCCTCATGGTCCGAGGGGCGAATGACGAGGACACTGCATAGACACAGATTTATCTATCTACACACAGACACATATGGTAGAGGTCCCTTTTTGCCAATTGGATGCGATGATGATGCTCGGGAATAGCCAATGGCAGAGCAGCTATAAGTATGTTGCGTTCAGGAAACTCGGAGCTGCGAGTAGCGGCCGATACTGTATTTTTACCTTTCGTATCTTGAAGTTTCTTGCGTAACAAGAGGTACTATTTTCCTGTTGAGGCATTTCGTAACTTGAAAATTTTGTATGAAGAGACGTTCGTAAGTAGAGGTACCACTGTACTTTGGTCGTATGGAGTTTTAAAATTGTTTTGAATCATTTACATCTGATCGATAAATGAAAAACAAAAACAAAAAAATTCAGAATGGTATTAATAACTTTCATGGCACTGAAAGCGAATTCATTTTATTTCGTAATTCTATGACTGAACTTGATAGTTCTGGAACTGGAGTTGTCTTCATGTTTACATCTATATTAATATTGTCCCTGTTCCTCAATAGATGTTGGTTTTGAAGTTGGACGGAATTCAGGAGTGTCATACTTTGTGCTACAGATCCATTATGGAGATATCAGTGCTTTCCAAGGTAAGTACTCAAATTTGAGCATGTTGGCAAAAATGGCTTGATGGATATACCCAACACTTGAATGAAAATGTACAAGACTAATTCCTTACTTAATTTTCTGTGAAATACATTCGACTCAACAGATTGATTGACATGGTGTTTAGGCGAAAGGTAAATTCCATGTCCAGGAGACCAAGCATAGGGGCAGGGTTCATTACCATGTTGGAGATGAGAAGAGAAATCGGCGTTATCTTAAAGGAAGAGGTAGTTGAGAATGTTCTGTAAGTGAAAATAGTGTCAGATGAAGTGATGAAGCTGAAGTGACACTTGTGGCATTGGGTTCAGAGTGTAACGTGACGAGTGGAATTTGGACCCAGAAGCAGACATGACACTGAAGTTGAAAATTAAAAGTCTTTAGCTAGGAAAATGCAAAGTAACTACAGAGAGCAGGGCTGGATACAGAAGACAGGGAAGAAAGCTGACACTTTGACTAGGAGAAAGCTCGACGGACTGACCACGTATCACAAAGTAACTCGAGCTTATATAATGTGGGAATCATGCCTATAGCAGCAGCATGGCAACTGAAACATCAAGGAACAAACAGTCACAAAACAGAGAATAAGATTTTTAAAAAATTGTGAAAGTCCTTTCAAATTAAGTGATATTTCAGGAAAAATGATAATGCAGTTACAAAATCATTTCTACATGATTCAGGATTTGGATGTAATTGTGTTTTGTTCCAGTTAATGCTTGAGTAGAGCGTCCAACCCAATGCACTAGTATGAACGAAACCTAAGGGTCTGACTAAAACAAAGTATTGTAACACTGAAATATTGTAACATTCTGTTCTTGGTTTATTCATATTTGTACACAGTAAACAAATAAAACAAACTTAACCTGTTTGCCATTTATAATATTTATATATCCAATTGTTATTGTATTCTCTTCTTATATTGTTTGCATTTTCATGTTTTGTTTTTCCTTCGACAGATCATCACAAAGATTGCTCGGGTCTCACTCTGACAATAACATCCACCCCGTGCGTACTTTATTTCTTTATATGCATTTTTACAAACTGTATTGTAAAATATGCTACGTTCAGTAAGAATGGTTTGCTTAAGTGTATAATACAATTCGGAACCTTGATTTAAGATACATTTAATATAAGGCAGGAGTTGTAGTTCATGTCCACTAAATCGAAGCACTATGATTGTGGCCTACAAACACCTAATACCGTATAAAATTATTTTTGGGAACCGGTACTTTTTTTTTCATAACTTTATCTTGTCTTATAGGTTGTGGGGGTTGATAACTGTGCTTCCTTTTTTCACCTCTGTTATGACTAGATGCCATCAAGAAGGGCTTGACAAAAATCAACTTTACAGCCCTGGCCAAAGGTTTTGAGAATGAAATTTATATAAATTTTCACAAAGTCTTTCATACTTATTTTTCATGATGGCAATTTTTTTTCTTGAGTGCTCAGTGCTGGGTGCTCAGGTACCAAGCGCTCCAATAAGAAACAATCGATTATAACAGTCTCTTCTAAACAAAGGGCTAAGTGAGCTATCTTTACTTATTCATAGCACAATACAGGAAGGCTTGAAACATTCTGCATATATCTTTACCTTGTTTTGCACAAGTTAATTTGCGGCTCTCATGTCACATTCCCACACCAAGGTTTTTGAGAACCACCCAAAAGTGATAACTTGGGTTGCAACTTGGTCTTCTTGGGTGCATTTGGCTCAGTTGGTAAAGCAGTTTGCCCATTGACCTAAGGTTCAGCTGTTCAAATCTTGTTTTTGACACCAGCAAGAAGAGCACAAAAACACAACACAATCATGCTGGGCTCTTTTTTTTTTTTTTTTTTAATCAGGGAAATAAGAGCTGAAATTGTTTTTTAATTTGTCTGTAGGTCTTGTATAAAACTTATGTAAAACCCTGAAGTTTAAAATGTACAGCAAAAATGAAAGACTTCACCATATAATGCTTTTGGAGAGAAAGTGTATATGGTGATCACTCAAGACAACAGAAGTGAAATGTCTTGTGGGGGAAAATATATAAATATTTTATCAGGTCACTTCTTGTAACCTCTAACTGATTCAGTCGTTATTTTCCTGCAGGCAGCCATTTATTGCTGGGATTTACTTGCTCATGACCATGGACACTGTTATCCAGCCAGGAAAAAGAGGTAGGCTATTCTTCCTCACACTTCTTGTGTGGTGAGGGAAAGTTAATCAATTCCACTTCTTTGCATCACATTTTGCGATGCAAAAACAATTTGTTTGCGCCAATCTAATTCTCCTATATGCAAATATGGGTTTCTGTGATATACCAAGTGTTGTAGAAAGATATCATGGTAAAGATGCCTTTGAATATTCTCATTGATCCTGGTTATTTCATTCTCAAGGGCATTGAATCTATCGCAACTGAACTGTTCTGGTTTTCTTCGAAGACGTTTCGCTCCTCTTCCGAGCAAGCTTGATCAGTTCATGCCTCACTGAAAGACTCTTGTTGATGGACAGTGGCCTGTGGCCTATGGCCTCTCTGCAAGGCATCTTAACAGCTGTCATCTTGCATTCCAAACGAATAATACCATTTGTGGTTTGGAGCATAACTCCACCTTGGAGCATACACAGTTGAGTTTCCTCAATAGCCCTGGGCTAATGCTGTCCTAACTAGCCTTGTCGTATGAACTGATGAAGCAGGTTCGGATAAGAGCTGAAACGTCGTCCAGTTGCAATTATCTACCCTGAGAATTTCATAGTAAAGCTCAACGGACAACATCCAATATGGTTCTCGTTTCTTAAAATTTCACAAACACAGTAGAAAAAGAAATTAACCGGTAATTATTCATCCATATTTACCAAATAAAATAAATCACTAAATTGATGTCAAACATATCTGTATAATACAATGGGGTAAATTTCAATATATAAGTTAGCTAGTTTTAGAAAAATTTGTAGGTTCAAACAAAATCTGGTAATTCTTCACTGAGAAATAGAGAAAAAAAAAACTTTTCAAAGAGGGTAAGGGGGGTCCTCGTTTATGATGAACGCTTTTAGAAAATGAGTCATTATAAACTATAACGACAGTGACACCAGAAACAAATACTGATGACTTGCTGCAATATGCTTGTCAATTGTAGTGATAAATGTGCGCTATGTTACCGGTATATGTTTGACATCAATTTAGTGATTCATTTTATTTGGTAAATATGGATTAATAATTACTGGTTAATTTCTTTTTCTACTGTGTTTGTGAAATTTTGTTAAGAAACGAGAACCATGTTGGATGTTATCCGTTGAGCTTTACTATAATATTCTATATGTAAACAGGCTTTGAGGGGCTTTTCTCTTAAATTTATTTTATTTTATTTTTTAAAACCACCTCCATGGTGATGCCTGTGGGTGCCGAGAGAGAATTCTGTGGCCGACTGACAAGTGTCTATCTATGTGTGGCTATGTCTCTTAAAACCCTGAACTGTATTTTTAGCACATGTGTGAAAGGCATATGAAGCCATCCTCCATTTCAGTACCCAGACAGAGCACAATTCTCACTCCAAAATGCTCGGTAGTTTCTCCCAAAATGATTTGAAGAAATTTATTCCTCAATTTTTCAGTTGTTGACAATTGATGCAGATTTAATTTGAGTTGGCAGACTCATTTTGACCTGCCTTCCACATAAAACAGTGGAAGGCAGCAACATATTTGTATAGTATGGGATCTTAATGATAGTATGGGATCTTAATGAATTCGTGAATATAAATTATTAATATACATCAGAAAATTCCTTTCAAGATACAATATACTGTATATTCATGTGTTTATATGGAAGGTTGAGTTTGTTGTCGCTTCCTGTCTGTTTTTCTTGTTAGTTACAAATGCGGACATCGCCTGTGACTACACCTCGTATCCGATTTACCCGTTTGCCTTTAGGACACACACACATCGTTTGGGTAAGTAATGACAAATACCTGTACTTAAAAAATATACACATTAACCTGTATATACACAAACTTTTTGTCTTTGAAGCAACAGGAAGGGGTGCAGTTTTTGTTCCTGTGCTCCTGAGCCCTCACTACTGTTGTGCATCCATTAATTTAGTGCTTTTACAGATGTAATTTTTGTTGTATATTTGGCGACTGAACTAATCATGAAAAGCTACCTTGTGACGCTGCGGTAAAAATTATTTTGTGGTATAAAATGTATAAAGACACTCCCTACTGAGGTCACAAGCCCGACTGATAGTATCTAACAATAGGAAGTGGGCAAAAAAATCATGTTTATGCTGAATGTTTCCACAACATCTGCATTATAATGTTATGTCCAAAAATGAACATCCCCTCAGGTGACCTGTGATCACATCTAGAAATGAGGATTTTTTTCCAACTCTCTCTACCACCCATTCATTCATTTTCAATACCACTGACCTGGGGCAAAATGCATAATACTAACTAGACTAAGAGACCACTAACAGTGGCACATACAGTACAGGCACAAATTATTCATACTCACATTCATATAGCCATTGAGCAGGGTCCCCGCTGAGTGGCAATTGAAGCAAGGCTGCCTACACGGAAGTCGGAGGATTGATCCGTGACACATCGATGACATATTATGAGCCACTGTGTCAAAATAAATTTGAAGTCCCTACTGAGAATAACCCACTCTTCCCTGACTATTTACTTCCCATTTCTCCCATAGGAAAAGTGGTCAGTGGCTACAGGATTCGAAATGGAAAGTGGAGCCTGATTGGGAGACAGTCTCCTCAACTACCGCAGGTATGTAAAAAAAATCATAAGAACCATATATATGCCTGTGAGCATGCGCGGTCTTGGACTGATATACATATAGAGTATCTAAACAGTTTGACACGTGGCTGGGGAAGTGAGTGCATCTGCTTCATGATAATTTTGTTTTTTTTTTTAACTACCCTGACATGACCTATAACATTAAAACTACCTTCTCCAGGCTTTCTATCCTACAAACCACGATGTGGATGTGCAATATGGAGATACGCTCGCCGCCAGATGTATGTTCACTGGTGAAGGCAGAAGCGAAGAAACATACATGGGGTAAGTTGTACTCTAAATCCCATTCCACTAATTGACAAGTTATAAAACTATGATTTTGCTTTTAAAGATTTCACAATAAAACAATTCAGGGTGGATAGCAATATAATGGACCCATTGAAAGATACTATCCAGATAATCCTTGTTATATACATACTGCGTGTGTGTGTGTGTGTGTGTGTGTGTGTGTGTGTGTGTGTGTGTGTGTGTGTGTGTGTGTGCGCGTGTGTGTGTGCGCGTGTGTGTGTGCGCGCGCGCAAGCGTGCGAACGAGAGAGATCTGCTCTTAGCCACCATTGTTTTGCTTGCTCAACTTCTACAT